AGTTAAATAGTAAAATAAATACATATAATGATAAATTAACTGTGGATTATTTCATTTACGTTGCGTTACGTGGCTTCCGTGTGGGTAGCTCGCTGTTTATTCCAAAATTAACAAAGTATCTCAACACATTGAGAGGTTGGCGACCACTGATCTAGGAGATACGTTAAAGGAGACTAGAAAATTATTAGAAATTGTGGTAACAACTCCTATGACATCACAGGCCAAACGATGTTTCTCAACACTAAATCGAATCAAAACGTTTCTAAAAAATTCTATGACAAAAGATTGTTTAAGAGCTCTTTTCGTGCTATCTATTAAAAAAAATTACTTCCGAAATAGACAATTTTAATGAAAAAGTTATTACAAAATTTTGCGAACCGAAAAGAACGTAGGATAGACTTAATTTATAAAAAATAGACTGTAAAATCACACTATCTATTTAAATTGTTCACGAGTACAGTAAAATATTGCTTTGTGAGGCAAACGTTTCAGCAATCCATCATTCAGCAAGCACGATAACATCGATCGGACTTTGACTAAGAAGACAACCCCCCTGAAAGATAAGCTTTTTTTGCAAAAATTGCAAAACACCCTAAATTTTTTGCCACAAGCCGCCACTGGTTGAAGCAGTTTCAGATAATGGCTCTGATACGTTTTCGTCTAGCCATCTTGCTTCAGAATGGTACATCTGGTAAGAGTTTTCTTATTTTTAAAATTTAATTTAATTGTTATCTTTTTGATTCTCCACGGACTCATCGTAAAACCCACAAATAAATATTTAGTTTGGAAATGAGGCAGAATATAAAACATTGTTAACTACTTTTTAACAAACCGAAAGCACTTCTTTTGTCATAATCATTAACCTCGCGATATTTCATCCAAAAATATACTAGCTGGGGGGACTTAATTAGAAAATAGTTGAGATTTCCGAGGAGAGCGTATGTCTCGGAGGACTTAAACTTGTTACATCATGTAATTCGGCAAAGGCAATAAGTTGAAATATGACTTAATTACGACGTACATATTCTCCACACTTTCATGGAGGGTAGAAGCGACTATAACGCGAGAATTTATTGTGAAATTGTGGAACGTACCAACAACGTGAAAAGAGAATGAGGGAGAAACGCATACCTAAGTTGATGCTAAAAATTTTCACACGTTCTCACAAACGAGTATTAAACGTTATTATTTTTTTTTGTAAACATGCACTTTAGTTTAATAGCATCTCATTTTAATGTATACATTTTTTAGTAGAAAAGCAAATTATATCATAAAACGAGATTGTTTGAAAATTATCAATACATAATACGAAGTCGTAGGAAAAACAAAGTTCGCAAAATACCATTTTCCAAATCTCTATAATTGTTACATTAAAACAAAATTAAAAATCTGATGTGTCCAACACATGACTTTCCTATCTAGTTATTATAGGCTTTTTCCGGTTATTTTGTACAACCTATTGCAGCACCTCTATAAATATTTAGAGGATAAACTAAATATATACATTTTCCACATACATCTACCTCGAAACATTTTTATATAGATATTCATTGAAAACGAAAATACTGAAAAATTTAAATTTAGCACTTCTCCTACAATTTTTCCATTACGGTCCATTTTAGAAAAATCATGTAAAAACAAAAATTATAGAGATCGATATCGCAAACAACTTTTAGTTCAACAATTTTGATAAAAATCAGAATTTTGCACATTTTGTCAAATTTCTCGAAATTTTTTAGGAAATTCTGATATAAAACTAAAATTATAGATAATAATATTAGAAGTAACTTTTATTTGAACAATTTTCTTCTCCAAACATAAATAACAGATATATTCCATAAACTATAAAAACGGCCTCCCATAAAGTACCCCCCAGATGTTCCAAAATCCCATCATTTAAAATTTAATGTTTTTTTCTTTATCCGTTTTTGAGTTTTCTTCAAAATTCGAAATTTACACATTTTCTCAAATATCTTGAATACGGTCCATTTTAGAGAAATTATGTATAGAAAAAAAATTATAGAGAATTATATTACAAACTTTTATCTGATTAATTTTAATAAAAAAATATTTTTTTTTACATTTTGTCAAACTTCTCGAATATGGACCATTTTAGGAAAGTTTTGTATAAAACAAAATTATAGATAATAATATTAGAAGTAACTTTTTTTCTCCTGGGCTCGTCTGACTTGTATCTCCGAATAACACTGAAGCCTATTGGCTTATTGTGTTTTACCTCATGTTAGTTTATAGCACCCACTCTGTCACCTTTGTACCTTGTACAAGTTTGTACAGATCCTTGGGTGAGCGGGTTCTATACGTTGTTGATTCAACCTGGGGTTGTCCAAAAAGAGCCTGTCTTGTGCGATCTAGAGCTTCGCATTCGCACAGTATGTGTAACTTTTATTTGAAGAATTTTCTTCTCCAAGGTAAATAAGAGTTATATTCCATAAAATATAAAAAGAACCCCCAATAAAGTACCACCCTAATGTTCTGACTCTGCTAAAAATCAAATCAGTTCACTGGACGCTGGAATAAAGCTTAAGTTTAAAATTTGGTATTTTTCTGTGTATCGGTTCATGAGTTATGGTGGAGACACACACACACACACACACACACACACACACACACACACACACACACACACACACACACACACACACACACACACACACACACACACACACACACACACACACATACATACACACACACACACACACACACACACACACACACACACACAAACACACACACACACACACACACACACACACGCGCACGCACGCAAGCACGCACGAACGCACACACATACATACACATACACACACACAAAGACATACATACACACAAAGACATACATACACACACAGACAGACATACACACAGAGACAGACACACACACACACACATACACACAGACACACAGACACACACAGACACACACACACACACACACACACACACACACACACACACACACACACACACACACACACACACACACACACACGCGCACGCACACACACACACACACACACACACACACACACACACACACACACACACACACACACACACACACACACACACACACACACACACACACACACACACACACACACACACATCATAGCGAAAATAGTCAAAACGGATTCAGGGGACCTCAAAACGTAAAAATCCGTCAAAAATTCGACAATCCACAAAATAAAATAAAATCTATTCTGATCTGAAAACATGCATTTTTATTAGAAATAATCTAGTTATACTAGGACAAAATATTGGAGAAGGTGAGTCATATGCATAAGTAAGTGATACCAAGCTTAATTTACATATTTTTATAATAAACAAAATACAATTATAAACATAGATGAATTATTATAACAAAAATAGATAACCAACCTACTTTCATCTAGTAATATTCACAAATACCCATTTAATTTTGCCAATATAGTATTTCTGCGACACTGGAAGAGTGTATTTTGATATGATACCGATACCTTTTGCAGTTTTAAGGCGCACCTTCTTCAATATTTTCCAATAGTGTTTCTACGCCACTGGCATAATATTTACATATTTTAACAATAAAAAAAAAACAAAATTATAAACATAAATGATTATTACTACAAAAATAGATAACCAAACTTTCATATAATATTATTTACTATTACCGCATTTAATTTGCCAATAGTTTTTATACGCCACTGGCGAAATTCATTTTGGCAATAAACATGCATTTATGACTCGTTGGCACGTGATTCCGATAACTTCTGCAGTTTTAAAACTGCGCGTAATTCCATTCATTATGCTCTAGTATAGTATGATTGTTGTACTAGAACAGGAAGGAATCATCTTCTTTAATATTTTATCCGAATATAAGAGTCTTGGGCAGAGCAGTTTTATTAAAACACACAAAAAATCACAAAAAAACCACAAAAAACAAAAAAAAAACACAAAAAATAACAAAAAAACACAAAAAAAACTCAAAACCCCACCAAAAACCTGAAAATTCCAGAAAAAACACAAAAAAATCCACAGAAAACCCACAAAAAACAACAAAACCACACAAAAAACACATACAAAAAATCCATTAAAAAAAAAACAAAAACAAAAACTCACAAAAAAACACAAAATATCCACAAACAGAAACTACAAAAAATCAACAAAAAACCGATAAAAAACCCACAACAACTCACCAACAAAAAATTCACAAAAAAAACCACAAAAAAAAAATAAACTTACGAAATCAAAAACACAACAAACACAAAAAGCCTACAAAAAAACCCACAAAAAACACAAAAACCTACAAAAATACACAAAATCCTCAAAACCCTACAAAAACCTACAAAAATCCATAAGAAGGACCACAAAAAAAATGATTAAAAAATAAAAACCCAAAAAAAAAAACTACATAAAAACAAAAAAACCACAAAAAAAGAACCCACAAAAAAAATTCACAAAAAAAATTCACAAAAAAAGAACACAAAAAACACAAAAACCGCACCAAAGAAACACAAAAACAAAAAAAAAACAAAAAATCCACAAAAAAGAATTAAAAAATCTCAAAATAAAACATGAAAAACCCACAAAAGCTCACAAAAAAAAAAACATAAAAAAATAAGTAAACCTTTGGTAATTCGAAATAATTATTTTAACGTACCAAAATAGTATAAAATTGAGAAATTTTACAGTTACAACTGACACTCGCTATTTAGAGTTCACATCGTAACACACATTTTAAGCCTAACACTAAACTAGGAAACATCAGTAGAATCATCAAAAAATTAACTGAAATCGTTACAAAGTGAGAATGTCTATTTACTGCCATTAGATAAAATCTAGTCTAAATGTTAAAAATAATTTTCTACACGGCCACTATTAATATTATTTTGAGATTTTATTGTTTTTCTCCTTTATTTATACACGCCTTTCTAAATTCAGTAAATGTCGGATCAGCGAAAATCTTTTTAGAATCTAAAACTTATTTACTTATCGCTTACCTTCCGTGACTAGGTAAAGGAAATCCATCCAGCGTCCAAGATATCTGAGGAGTTGGATTTCCAGATGCACTGCATTTTAAAGAAACTGCAGGCCCCGGCTGTAGCGTTTGTTCAATGAAGCTATACAGAAGAATTGGAGGAGCATCTGAAATATAGTAAAAGAAAAGTTGAAATGGTTTGAATATTATAAAAAAGGATATCTGTGGTAAATGGGAATCGTTGGGTTTGTTCCAACATAGATATTATTATAATTATCAGAAACAGTTACTAATCTTTAGGATTTTGCGTGATGATTTATTTGTCCAAACAGATCCGGTATTTCTGCAGAGGTTACTGATAAAAATAATGCGTAAAATTATTTGATTGTTTTTAGAACAAACCCATTATTTATTGAATCTACTTACCGCCTAACTGCAGTTCAGCTGCTGCTTGAGCAGTGTCACCTTCAGCTCTTCTCACCACACATTGGTACATTCCTCTGTCTTCTCTACCTATATTGTTTACTATTAGCGTTTCACTGGAGCCTCTTCCTGTACTGGGTAGCTGGCGGCCATCTTTATACCAAGTTACAAGATGCGGTCCTCCACTTTGCGATGATACGACGCATCTGGTTTGAAGAATTAAATTCATTAATTAAATTAGTTTGTATAAAATTTTCTGAATAAAAAGCAACTAAAACAATATTAATATATCCACAAACAACAAATTTAAGTGCCTATTTTTGTTCGGAAATAACTGAAAGTAAAAATGATTTACCTGAATTCGGCACTGCCGCCCATGTGCACGCTGAGCAGCGGCGGAGAAATCTCTACGTGCAAATTAGTGGAGACCATTAATCGTAATTCCGCACTGGATTCCCCACCTGCGTTCGACGCCGAACACCGGTATACACCGCCTGCGAAAGAACAGAATAGACATTCATTGTGGTAATCCCCGAAAATTCCCGATCAGAAATAAATCTGTCGACAAGTCGCAAATTATCTGTGCTTTAGCGTTGTAAATGGACTAGAAGTATTTTCATGTATTTCAAAGATGATTAAGTGTCTGTACGATCTAACTTTGAAGTTCTCACATATATTTGCATATTTTGTAAGTATACAGAGTATTAGGAGGGATAACACGAGTAAAATTTTGAAGAAAGATTGATCTGCCTTTGAGAAGGGGCCTAATAGAATGTAAAAGTGTATTGATGCATTTAGCACAGTGTAGAGAACAATCAATAGGGGAATAAAATTAGTACCTTCGATCTTTACAGGTCAAGGTTTGCCACAAGAAGAGAGGGGTTTGTCAGGCGACGCCATTTTATTAGGATAATTCTCATATCAAGTTCGCAGTTTTTAATGATATATCTTGCTTTAGATAAATTTTATATATCTGTATAAAACATTTTATTAAAATGTATTGTTACACTGGTTTTTGGTATCACAATTTATTTCAGTTCAACTTTACAATAATTCAGTTCAACTGACATAATAACTTTACAACTGATAACATTAACATGTAACATCTATCATATAACTGCCAAGTGACGTCAGGTCGTCGCCTTATATAGCTTGCCTCGACCTTCTACAACCTTCTCGAACAATTAGGGGTGGGATTCCGTTTTGTGTCGAGTAACTCGATCTCGATACGATTCATAATTCGATCGAAATATGAAAAGCAATTCTGTTTTGACTTCGGAAATATTTGACTAGGATTTAATATCAAACTCCATAATTGCAATTCCGTTCAACGAAATTCGACAGTAAACTCGATAAAATAACTCGATAGCTCTAGAGTAGTCGATTCGATATCAAATCATTAAAGTTGAATTTTTTTGACAGTAGGTATGAACCTCTCCTGCAGCATTGTGCCTTTTCTAAATAACCTCTCCTGCATTAAGGGCCTTATTTTCTCTATTAGGTATATACGGGGTCATTATACTATTTCATAGGGATAGTATCTGTATCTGTAACGTATGAAGAGTGGGTTAACTCATGGCACTTAGGCCTCACTAGGCCCATTGTGCAACCTCCCAATTAGATAGGTACCTACTAGCTCGTGAGCCAGGGACAGTATTGCTATTTCTTAAACGGTAACAAATAGAAAAATGGTTGCATTTGACAAAAGTTGCACAGTTTTGTGCTTATTAAAATGGTACCAGAAAACATTTGATATCTACAAAGAAATTCAAATAGTCTAAGATCCGGCTCCGAAATTAGTACATTCATAATATAGTTGATCGAAATCTAATTTCGACGTACTTTTATAGCAAGGAGAATCCACTTTTCAGTAGGTGCCAATTAAAAATTGCCCGCTAGTATTTTTAATTAAAATAATATTAATTGAGTTTTCGGGAAACATTTCGTTTACATCTTACGGAAATAAATCCTACTCCACTTCACAACAATGTAATTGAAAACTTTAAAAAGGTACAGTTGCTGTTGATCGCTTAGCCGCAACCTCGTCGCAGCCAGGTGTAAACAGGTATAACTTTGTCTAATTTTTTCGTTCATGACGTATATTCATTCCAATTGTGCCATATTATAGCTAATTTTTTTCTGTGCTTAATGTAATGAAGCTGCCTATAAAAAAAAAACCGCAAATAAAAGTTTCCTGCCGTTAAAGATGCTAGGCATTGTAAATAAAGTGACAGAGTGAGCGGGTAATGCTACTTGTCCGACAAAGATGTTAAATGCCGGCTGTACGCGCTTTTTAAGCTATTGCGCATGTCTCGATAGATAGGGTTCTCAACTAAGCAGCTGAGCTGAGGTGTTTATTATTATCCTAACCTCACAGTTTTGGAGCTCGTAATACACATAATTATTTTTATAGTTGTTGCTTTATTATTATTGAAATAATATTACTTTTGTTTATAAAAAGATAAAATTTAAAAAATGACCACGTGTTTTTTGTGCAGTAAAAAAGAACAACGTCTTCCAATTTAGTAATGCATCGTTTAAAAAATGTTTCTCAATGTTATTATTCCGACGTAAAAAAATATAAATATCACGATATTATATTAACAGTGGAATCTGCTAATTATTTTGGTAACCATACTGAGTGTCTTAAGAAAATCACTGTTTTGAAGCAAAAAGATAAAGAAGAATTTGAAAGTTTTTGCAAAAGTCAAACTGTAAAGTAAAATTTTTTATTTAGTGTATAAATGCACGTGACTCTGTCAGACATTAATTAATATTTAGAATATTAAAAAATTAGAAATGAAAAGTTTATTAATAAATAAATATACAGTACACTCAGACAATTAACAAATCTATACTTTTTTCTAATGAATAATTTTTAATTGTGTATTAATCAATTTTTAATTATAAAAAATTAATTTATGTCTGTTACATTAATATTATGAATTATACAGGGTGTTTCAAAATGTATGTCATAAATTCATCCTCAGATAGATTACCAAAAAATAAGTGGATTTGGCTATATTTACCTATATCAAAAACTGGCTCCCAACAAAGTTACAGGGTGTTAAATTAAGATTTAGAAAAACTTTTTTTTATATAAAAAGTTTTCTGTTGCGATTTTTTTTCGAAATTTTTGCCAGTGCTGTAGATTTGAAGGCCCAATATTCTAAGAAAAAAAAATTTAAAACAACACCTTTAAAAAAAAGTTAGGGGGTTGGGTACCTTTTAACCCCCCCGTATTTTTTTTGACATAAAGAAACTTGCTTTATTGATCCTAAAATCAAAAAGAACTATGAATTTTTAATTTTTTTTTTATAGCGAAATGAACTTTGTATCTTTCTTAGTTAACGAGCTATTTACAATTTTTTAACTGAATTTGTAGAGCAATTCGTCCGTTCTGCACTTAACATATCAACAAAACTAAGAGTAGGTCAGGAGTAATTGTACAAAAAACGCATATAAAAATCAGTGGTGTGCCTAGGGCTGTGCTTCAGCCGCCCCTGCAAAAACTACCTCTTTTATTTATATTTTAGTAAAAATGGTATTTATAATATTGGATTGGCGCCATAAAAATGTTGTGGCTCATGGGTTCACCATGCCACTGATAAAAATACACGTTAGTTGGGAAATGTATTTATTAAATTTATTAGTAAATAAAAAAACTATTTTTTTAATTAAACAATTAACAAAAAATTAACAATTAAAAATAAACATTTGGTAATAATTATTATACATATTTTATAAACTATTTAATTTAGTAAATATTCAACATATCCTCTACTTCTTGAATACAAAAATATAAATAAAAGAGGTAGTTTTTGCAGGGGCGGTTCAAGCAAAGCCCTAGACAAACCACTGATTTTTATATGCGTGTTTTGTACAATAGCTCCTGATCTACTCTTAGTTTTGTTGATATGTTAAGTCCAGGATGGACGAATTGCTCTAGAAATTCACTTAAAAAATTGTAAATAGCTCGTTAAATAAGGAAGATACAAAGTTCATTTTGCTATTAAAAAAATTTAAAAATTCATTGTTCTTTTTGATTTTAAGATCGATAAAGCAAGTTTCTTTATGTCAAAAAAAATACGGGGGGGTTAACAGGTACCCAACCCCCCAACTTTTTTTAAAGGGGTCGCTTTAAATTTTTTTTCTCCTTATAATATTGGGCTTTCAAATCTACAGCACTGGCAAAAATTTCGAAGAGAAAATCGCAACAGCAAACTTTTTATAAAAAAAAAAGTTTTTCTAAATGTTAATTTAACTTTGTTGGGAGCCAGTTTTTGATATAGGTAAATATAGCCAAATCCACTTATTTTTTATTGTTCTATCTGAGGATGAATTTATGACATACCTTTTTGAAACACCCTGTATAATTCATAATATTAATATAACAGACATAAATTAATTTTTTATAATTAAAAATTAATTAATACACAATTAAAAATTATTCGTTAGAAAAAAGTATAGATTTTTTAATTGTCTGAGTGTACTGTACATTTATTTATTAATAAACTTTTCATTTCTAATTTCTTTAATATTCTAAATATTAATTAATGTCTGACAGAGTCACATGCATTAATACACTAAATAAAAAATTTTACTTACAGTTTGACTTTTGCAAAAACTTTCAAATTCTTCTTTATCTTTTTGCTTCAAAACAGTGATTTTCTTAAGACACTCAGTATGGTTACCAAAATAATTAGCAGATTCCACTGTTAATATAATATCGTGAAATTTATATTTTTTCCGTCGGAATAATAACATTGAGAAACATTTTTTAAACGATGCATTACTAAATTGGAGCACGTTGTTCTTTTTACTACACAAAAAACACGTGGTCATTTTTTAAATTTTATCTTTACATAAACAAAAGTAATATTATTTCAATATTAATAAAACAACAACTATAAAAATAATTATGTGTATTACGAGCTCCAAAACTGTGAGGTTAGGATAATAATAAACACCTCAGCTCAGCTGCTTAGTTGAGAACCCTATCTACAGTTCATCAAATTTCTAGAGGCTTTCGACGGCTAGACAGAGAAAGCACTACTGACAGGCATCCCGACGGATTTACGCAATGAAAGTACACTCTGCGCATCAAGTATTTCACTATTTCATTCAGACGTAAATGTCAGATGTAAATTTCGCTAAAACATTTTTTTTATTTTCGTTTGTGTTTTTTGCTCATTACAGTTTAATAGAACCTAAGTATGGAGTTTAATAGCAAATTACGAGACCGCGTGATTAACAGTCAATCTCGCGAAATAATAGCCAATGTTATAGAGTTTATGAGAAGAGAAGGAAACTTTAATTCACCTTCAATACCATTTAAAAATGTAAATAATCGTGTTGCTGCAGCCACAGGAGTATCTAAAAACACTGTCGTCCGCATTTCTGGAGAGAAAAAAAGAATCGATAACCGTAAGATATCGGAATTTTCATCACCAAGAAAAACCATTAAAAAACCAAAAACAGTTAATGATATAGC